GGAGAAATTTTCTAGCAAATCGTCACGTTTTTCAATGATAGAAATAATTCTATTACAATTAATGAAATTCTATAATAATCTTCGTAGTAATAAATTAAAATGAAATATTTGTATTCATGTCTATGATAATAAAAGCCTTATGTTAAACTTTATCTAATTTAACGAATTTCTGTAAAGTTGCATATAGTAGATCATTTTTCGAAAAATAAGATCATAAAGAAGTTTCACTTCTTACGTGTGTACACCTAGTACACGCACAATTTATTTTTATAAAGACAATTCACACCAATTGACCTAGTCCCATGCTAAGCTGGTGAAGCTTGTGTTATGGGTACTAGGCAACGAATATACATACATATTATAGATAGATAGACATATAAATACGTATTTAAACGCCCAAGACCTAAGCACAACACCAAATGCGATGTTCGTCTCGGCCGGGGATCGAACCCGGGACCCATGGATTCGCAGTCAGGGGTACTAACCACTAGACCAATGAGTCGTCATGGATGAAGGAGGTATAAAGAAAAAAGACCATAGTGGTCTCCTTTTTTATCTGACATTTATAGACTACGCAAAAGCAATTCAATCTCACACTGTAGTATGGGGAATGCCCTCATTTGAATTCATTAGAATTGTGTGGAATAAATAAGGGAATGGATTGTTAGACTTAAATTAGCGTTTCTGTTTATCTTTTGTAAATCTATCTTTTTCAGCAATGCTCTTTTTTCAATTTCCAATTCTTATTAATTGAATTGATATTCGTATTTATTCGATTTGTTAAGAAATTTCATTTCATTCTATAACTGACTTTTTTAAATAACCTATTATTCCCACGAGAATTTAAGTGCGTGCTCCTATTTCACCATGTCTTCTGCTGATAGAGGACAAATCTTTGTTTTTAATTTATTTTATTATTATTAATTACTTAAAATGTCACATGGGACATGGTGTAATGGTTGCAGCTCCTTACAAACATTTTGTAAAACAAAAAAATGCCAATTAAAAAGAGTGGCGGAGAGTTTATTGCCAGTTCTTCTCTCTCGTTCTACGCCCTTGATTTGAGAACTGGCAGTAAATGTAAAATTAGAAGCATTAATATGTATTTCTTTACTGACAAGTCATAAGTGTACATTATGTTACCTATGTGATTAAATGATTTATTTATTTATTTATTGGTGCATACTATATAGAGAGAAATTCTGCTCAACTTCCTTTGTGGCTTCAAATTTAATTCCCGGAATTCAAAGAACTTTCGCATTGAATTAAATCGCCAACTCAGCTATGGGCATACCGAGAGTTTAGATAAAAAGCCACTCTACACTTTCTAAGAAACCTTGTACGTCTCTTTAAGTAACTTAATATGCATAGAAATCGAATCTAGCCGGTGGTCCATTATGGCTCGCCTTGCCACTTCGACATTGACAGTGTTGCCATATAAGAAACTACTGTTGGAATAATTAATTAATCTCGAGTCAACAACGACTGTTAATTACATAAGCGCCAATTAAAATACTTGACATCGAGTATATATGTGATAATATATATAGATAAAGAGTATTTACAATTTTGTTAACCTACATAGTAATCATAAAAATAAAATAGAAAAACTTTAGAGGTGTCAAGGGACACCCGGATGGAACGAAATTCCTTTCGATTAATTTATATGTTAATTGGTATCATAACAGTATGATAGATTTTCTCGACACCAATCTTACGACGAAAAAAAAAGCCAACATCACGAGGTGTTCCCAGGCGGTCACCCATCCAAGTACTGACCTCGCCCGACGTTGCTTAACTTCGGTGATCGGACGAGAACCGGTGTATTACAATAGCAAATAGCAAAAAAGTGTCGTGACAACTTTTCGTAAGAATTTTTTCCGTCTAGCCCCCTTTCACAACGCGCGATAAGGAAACTTCGTTCCAATTAAACTAACTTAAAAAGTTTGGTCCCTGGGGTAGTGTACCTATAATGCAGTATTTTCTCGCTGTATTGCGATACTTATTCGATGAGATAATACATTGTAATAAACTATATATTGCAAACCTCAAATAAATTAGTGAAAATGATATTATTAGATAATAATGTTTAACTATCACTAGATTATGATGTGATTATGATGAAATTACAAACAATAACAGGACAAATACCCTGCTTAATAAAGAAAATCTTCTATTATGCGATATTACGAACATCAACTGAAGACCCAAATGGGGCATGAACAGAAACATTTGTATATCTGTTTTATTAATAAATTATAGACTTATTATATAGTACCTTAACGTGGCATACCTAAACAGTATGTACTATATTTTCATACTATACATTTCATATAGTACATCATTATTGTAGTCAACTACATCGTATACTCAGGTATCTGTGGTTTTTTCCGTGGTATGTGAAGTATTTATGCGCCTTCAATGTATTATTTGCATAACCGTGTACATATTTCAAGTACTTAATTAATTTGAGCAGTGTTGGCCTAGTGGCTTCAGCGTGCGACTCTCATACCTGAGGTCGTAGGTTCGATCCCCGGCTGTGCAACAATGAACTTTCTTTTGCGCATTTACATTTGCTCGAACGGTGAAGGGAAACATCGTGAGAAAACCGACATGTCTTAGACCCAAAAAGTCGACGGCGTGTGTCAGGCACTAGAGGCTGATCACCTACTTGCCTATCATGAAACAGATTCAGAAATCTGAGGCCAAGACCTAAAGAGGTTGTAGCGCCACTGATTTATTTTATTTTTTAATTACTATGACATGAATGAGACAAAAATAAAACATTAACGAATATAAATGCAATTCACATTGTGTTTATAACGTTTCGAGTGCTTTACAAGTTGTGGTTGTTATGTAACTAGTGAAAAGAAAATTAAAATAAATTTAAAATTTAGTTTGGTCCTTGTGGCAGTGTACCTTTAACAATGGTATTTCCTCGCTGTATTGCGATATTATCTATATAAATTAAAATGAATCGCAAAATATATTGCTAAGCGTTGAAAGATGGCAATTCAGAATACTTTTTAAATTTATTCCTTGAACTCTGAGAAAGGTTTTATGAAGAGAAAATTTTGTTTAGTACTAAGGTTTTTATTCCGATAAAGTGAAAAGCTATGAGGTAGTAAGCAAAATGTTCCAAGAGTTGGTATTAGCTTCTAGAAGGGTAGGCTTAGTAAAGAAATCATTAAAACGAAACAAAGTTCGCGGGAGCTAGTAACTAATAAAACGTTGGACAACAAATACTGAATTTTATTCCTATATTAATGTTAGCCAATACTTAAATAATATACAGTCACCAGCTATAAATGATTCATGGTTCGAAATAGACATATTATAAGCCAAACGGTATCACTCATACAAGCTATAAGCTTTGAATAGTTATAGTCGTAATTTATATATATATGTGTAAAGAAATATTTTTATGTCTTAGATTAGATTCTTTAGATTATTATTTATCTGTTATGTGTTAACTGTTGTTACATTTAATTTGTTTGTTGTGTCTATGCAAAAGACGCTAGTTTTGGTCTCTGTTAAATTTTAATTCTAAGATTTTTTTGTTAGAATATTTTGCAATATAAAAGAAATAGGATAAAAGTTATTTTTTTGAAGTAAAATAACAAACTCTGAATCATAAATACATTTCAGCAACACATTTGAGTTTCATTCATCAGATATGTCTGTGAAAATATTTTATACTATGTTTTTGTCTGGTTGACCTTATATCTTGACCTTATTAAAATGAACAAAACTGAAATATTTTTGGCGTATGAGTCACGCTTGCGGAGCGGCCTTTCATGGCCATTATTCTTATATAATGTTATTGTAAATCTGCCAGATATTTTTATACGACACCTAAGTTATGAAGGTCTACAGTGGCTCTCAATTTTGAGGTCTTGCGATCAAATCACGACGTGCCAATTGACTTTTCTTTCTATTTGGATACCGGCGTGCAATAGACCCCAATCGGCGGCACGTAACATAAAAAAGAAATCAAATCATTTATATCAATTAGGCCGATTAAAAATACACTTTTGAAAGTAAATAATATTTAAAAAAATTACTCTAGTTGCCCCTTCCAAAAGGTTTAATATGAATGTATATAATGGGCAAGAAACTCCATATTTATTCTTTTAAAATTACATTTTTGTGTATTACAATATTTTGTATACATTGAATTGATATGGGAAGACCAAGGATTAAGGATAATAATTAACCTATTAAAGAAGAATTAAGACTGTGTTATTGGTACCTTAATTAGTCTTTAGACTTTGTATATGGACTTTCGACTTGTGATATTTCAAGTATGTAATATCAATTTGTAATTTCACTAAATAATATGTCGAATAATCGTAATCACAAGCATAGTACATATATGTATAGTATGTTCAGTACCTAGGTACTTACAATTGACTGGTATTAGGAACAAGGAGCAACGGTGCGCGTTTTCGCCTCAAGCCTTTATCTTTTTTTTCTATTGACATAAAAAAATTTCAACCTACTAAACTTTTTAATAAGCATAAAGCTGTGTATACAAGAGCGAGTAGGTATAGAACCTCTTACCGAAAAAGCCTGGAGGCGTGTTTTTAATTGCCAAAAAAGTAGGTGGATTGGGTGGGCTAGTATAAGTTTTATGTTCAGACTACATTGTACATTACACTAGCTAATCTTCGTCTATAACTCTCGGCGGGCATTGAAATCAGTAATCACGGAGTCGTAAACTTTTTTATAGTATAATAAAAAGCTTAAGAGACAGATAAAGGATATATTGAAGGATAGAATGTTTTCAAGTATAATAATAATTTATTTGCAAGAATATGGTACAAAAATATTATGGTGGTACAATCTTTTCCAACTTATTTAGTAACATCGATGAAAATATTGATATATTTTACAATAATCTTCCAACTTACCGTATCTTTGTTGCTCATGCTCTTGAATGAGGTTTAAGTTTCTATTTCAATTTTTTTTTGTTTATTTGTTTTTTATCTAAACACATAATGGCGAGCAAATTTGTCTTAGGTACGTCATTTTTAAGGTAGAATTTTAACAGAGTAGTTTCACATTATATTATCAATCATATCATCTCATTATTAAAATATATTATTACATTATCAAATTAATATTACTTAATATGTTTCATTCAAATGATCATTTATATATTTTTTCCATAAGTAGTACATTAAGTCGATTTTTAAATACTCTAGTAGGAAGATCTCTGAATGTTTTTGGTATATTATTATAAACCGTGATTGCCACACAAACTGTGTTTTTCCTAGGAATATCCTAGTAATTTTTTGGCATAACCAATTTTTTCCCATGTCTTCGGCAGTTGTAAAAATATTTATGTTTTTTAATTATATTTAGTATTGTCTTATTTGTTGATTGCGAGGTGACGATCACCAAGAGATGTGATAATTATTATTTGCTTAAGTAAAAAAGATAAACAGCGGGTAAAAAGTCTATTTATTTTTAATGTTATTAAAAACATTTAATTTTGTATACTTACATTATTTTTACCTGTTTGCGTAAGAGATTCATTGAATAGTAGTCCTACCAAAATAAAAACTATTTCGTACCTAAATATTCCATTTGCATACTATTTATTAACTCTTGCTGTCATTGTTATACGTTCTCAATGAAAGTAACCGAGTCAGCAGACAGATTTTTAGTTCAAGTTGTGATTCATCCTAATTAGAGTTAGAATTCAACCTGATGAGTCATAAAATAGCCAGCGTACGTTGAACCACGCCTCCCTCCGCGTCACGTATCACAGTGACACAATGGGAGCTCTCTCTCTGGTGGTAAGTAATGTGTGACGAAGCTCCAGTGCACTTTTTGCGTGTTTTATCTCGAGACCGGATGCGTGTTTTGTTGCTTGTATTGCGTTTAAACAAATTAAGTACCTACGACAGATTTAGGTTTCATATTTTGTTAGCGGTATCAATATTGGAGCCGTGATGGCCTAGTGGCTTTAGCGTGCGACTATCATACCTGCGACAGGTTTGATCCCCGGCTGTGCATTAATGGACTTTCTATGTGCGCATTTAACATTGGCTCGAACGGTGAAGGAAAAAATCGTGAGGGAACCGACATGTCTTAGATCCAAAATGTCGACGGCGTGTGTCAGGCACTGGAGGCTGATCACCTACTTGCCTATTAAATTTAGGCCAAGACCTAAAGAGGTTGTAGCGCCACTGATTTATTTTATATTTTTTTATCAATATTGGCAAAGAGGATATACTGTTGATGCCTGAGAGGTTTCAGGATTTTCTTTACTAATATTATAAAGAGGAAAGATTTGATTTTTGTTTGTTTGAAATGAATAGGCTCCGAAATTACTGGACCGATTTCAAAAATTCTTTCACCGTTGGCATGCTACACTATTCCCGAGTGACATAGGCTATGTTTCATTTCAACAAAAATAGGGATGGGACTAAAACTTGAATAATCTAACCCAAGGTGTATAAAATATAAACAAAAAACTTCCTTCAATCGCGTGCGCCGCGAAAATTATAAATGATAGAACAAAATGATGTATTAAAATTTTTCAGGACACATCACTATCTATAAAAAATGTCGCGACAGCATGTCTCTATCTTTTATAGTTACGTCACAATAAGCGTCCTTTTATTAATTTTTTTTTAATTAAAATACCACCGCTAGAAAAGGCTCTTCATTCGTACCTAGGTATATAAGCTACAATTTAATGGCATAACTACCAAAAAAGCATGATGGATTGGTGTTCTCCTGCCGTTTCTCTTGAATAGTTTAGAAGAGAATCAGTGGAAGCATATGCTTTATGACTCCTTTAATCTACTACTGGTCCCTTTATATAATCATAATAATAATACTTAGTACTAGATATGGTAACAAATAAGACCTGGGACCTGATGTATGAGTATAAATGATATTGGATTGCGACAATTTTCATATTGGAATTATTTCCTTTCAGATTTCAAAAAGGATTGGTCCGACCACGCGTTATGGTGGCCGACACGTAACAAATGGTTATCCCGTCCCAAGCACACATTGGACCAGTACGGAGTTCACGCGGACGCGGCTCTACACTTTACGCCGATGCACAAACCACTGCGGATCCAGTTACCGGACCTACGATACATTGACTGCAAGATTGATTTCTCAATTGACACATTCAGCGCTGTTGTCCAGTTGTGCAAGAGTCTTGGTAAGAGCGTAATGATTATCAATAACAGGTCCCCGACCTTTACGCAGCATATGGTCAGAGGTCAGATTCATCCATTCATTTGGGTTTGATACGCCTAACAATTCGTGAATAACATTAAAAAACATCTTATTTATTTATTTACACTTCGTTACCTTATACAAAAACATACATATAAAAAAGCAGGTTACATAAGTTATTAGGCCACGGGCGGTCCAGGCAACCCTAATATGGAACAATAAAAAAAGAAACATCTACAGAGGGTAAAGTACAAGAAGTGCATAAATAATTAACAAAAAATCAAACTCAAAAAACATATAACACTACCTATAACTAAAATAAAGTAAATCTAAAGATAAAACAAAAAAATAAACAAATAAACTAAAATATGTATAAACAAAAATGTAAAAGCTAATCCAAGTTATTAGTTATTTCTGAACAACTGAAGTTAACTTTTTTTGAAAAACATTTTTTCTTTATTTTCATTTCATGCATATTTAACGCTTCCAGGTATAAGGCACCCAGAAGAACTATCACTGTGCTACCCCTTAGAGCCATCCCACCTGAAGCAGAACTACCAGAACTTGAAAGAGGCGAAGAAGATAAAGTCTTCGCAGCCACCTGACACAAACACGTTTATAGCAGCCACCCGTGGTTCGTCAAACAGTCTGGACAGATCCCTGGCCTGTCCTGCTACTCCGCCCCCACCGAGATCTCTTTCTGCTACTCCTGTAGCTTCGCAACAGGTATTTTTTCGTTTGAATTTCGAATATTTACAATTTCTACTAGATTATTACGATACTGTGACTTGACCCAAAAATACTATATTAGCTTTGCTTATATTTCATATGTTTTCATCTGCTTAAATATATCGTATAATAATTATTATATATATCGTCAATTAATATAAACACGAACTCGAGCCTAAACAAAAATTTCTGTGTACAAAAACATACGTACGTATGTACTCACTTCTATTAATTTGTGAAGTTTTGTTGGAATTCTAAATATAAGAGGAAATCTAGCCTTTCTAATAGATTTTCAAGAGAATGTTTGTACATAACATGTATTAATTACAATTATTTATTTATTTATTAGTAATCTTACAGCTAACATACATATTATAAACTTAAACAATATACAGATTACAGCCAAAACAGATAGAAAAACAATAACATATGAAACAGAAAATGTATGTACATTAAATAGACAAAAATATAAGAAAACTTATATTTAACATTAAACAGACGAAAATTAATACATAATATTTCAAAGAAAAAACCAGATTGTTACTGCTAAACAATGTCAAAGTCTATAATGTATAGTATAATGGTGCCATCTACTTGTTAACTTGAAAGTTTTCTAAAGTGCAAACCAAATTTTTCAGAATGGCACTTTACGCCGCTACGGTGGGCACATATACAGTACACAAAGCGACGGCTCCAGCGACGGAGGCTACTGTGGTACTCCGCCCAGGGCAGCCTCAATGGATGCTCTCGACTCTTTAGCTGATCTCTCCCTGGCTGATTCACCCTTAGAACCAGACAGCCAGTCGCGCGAGTCGCTCCTCACACCGAAAAGCTTGATGGAACGCGCCAGAATGAATGTTGGGTAAGAATCAAATTATCACATTGATTATAATTACAAGCAAAATGTATTGTAACTATTGATTGCCCATTGTTAATTGTGTAGTTAGTATCGCATGAATATCTAAAAAGCCGGCAACGCACTCGCGAGTCTTCTGGTAAAGTTTCCATCAGAAAACATACATACATAGATCATACATCATCTTCTGTTGTATCATTGAACATCAGATGAAATACCAGGCCATCGTTGGTTTGATAACAAAATTTTTTATATATTTGCATAATCTTTTTTGCTATAATCACTTTGTTATATCTTCCAGTTGGCTCGACTCATCCCTCTCCATAATGGAACAGTATGTCCGTGAATGGGACACCCTTCAGCTCCGCTTCAAGTTCTATTCCTTCTTCGACTTGACGCCACGAGCCCAAGACGCTTCAAGGCTGAACCAGTTGTACCAACAGGCCCGTTGGCAGATCCTGAACCAGGAGGTTCATTGTACCGAAGAGGAGATGCTCTTGTTCGCAGCTCTGCAGGTAAAAAATTGTCACAATTATCATGGGATGACACAAATAGTAAATGTTACATTTATAATAACTGTCAATGTTAGGAAGGCATTTGGTATAGGCTCAAGATCCTTCTAGATCTAATTTAACGACGTTCAGTTTCGCGGTCACTTGAAGGAAAGGCTAAATTAGCCTCCAAAAAGCTTGGTGTGCAGCAAGGCAAGACGGTACTTCACTCCGGGCCACCGATTACAACTGTTCTTACGAGAGGAGTACTTACTGTTCTCACCTCTGGGCGGGAGCTACCCAGTACCAGCTCCTTCCACTTGAACGTATTCAACAAAGAGTGGTTCTAATCGTCGACGAACAATCCCTTTCCGAGCGGCTTGATCCCTTTGCTTTGCGTAAATATGTGAGGTCACTCTGCATTCTACCGCATTTACCATGGAGAGTGTTCAGAGGAGTTATTCGGATTAATACCTGCAGCTGAGTTTCATCATCAGAATACGTAATTCCAAATTCCATTTCTTAAGTCAGTTTTTGCCGCGTACTTCACATTTTTTGCACCACTATGTGGAACCAGATGCCCACTGAAGTATTTCCGAACAAATTCGACTTAAGGTCCTCCAAGAAAAGAGCGTACCAATTCTTAAAAGGCCGGCAACGCACTCGCGAGCCCTCTGGTATTGAAAGTCTCTGTGGACGGTATCATTAGATGAGCTTCCTGCCCATTTGCCTATTAAAAAAAGATCTCTTCCTCGATCTAACTAGTCTACGCGTACTTCACTTCAGCACAGATCTTACATTCTATTTCTTTTTTTATCGGCATTTAACAGCACTATTTGACAGAATGAGAGAAAAGAATATTAAAATACCACAAAATTTCTAATCTCTGATGAAATGGTAAAACATTTTTTTTATAGATTTTAAAATGCACAGGAGTATTACACATTTCTCACAATAAACAGATTATAGACAATGTTTTCAAGTTTATGACCATATGTATTTAACTATCTTAACAACTATGGCATATTGTCCGAATCACAGTATGGTTTTCGTGCGGGTATTAGTGCTGAGGACGCTATTCGAGATCTAACTGGTAAAATTACAAAAACGATCGACAGTAAACAAAAGGCATTATGTATCTTCTTGGATCTTAAAAAGGCCTTTGATACTGTTTCTGTACCTATCTTGTTACGAAAGTTGGAAATAATAGGTATCCGAGGTTCATTCCTAAAACTTCTTACCGACTATCTTCAAAACCGTACCCAACGAGTTAGAATTTGTGATGATGTCCTCAGCTCTGACGAGTTCACTACAAATTTTGGCATTCCACAGGGCAGTGTCCTCGGCCCAACATTATTTTTAGTTTACATAAACGACCTTACAAATCTCCATCTTTTCAATGGACAAGTATTTTGCTATGCCGACGACACTGCCTTGCTCTTTTACGGAAAAAACTGGGCTGAAACTTTCAGTTGCGCTGAATCGGGATTGAACACTGTTATCGAATGGCTAAAAATTAACTTGCTGTCACTCAATTTAAGTAAAACAAATTATGTCCCGTTTTCTATACGAAATTCGTTGCAACCAAATATTGATTTAAAAATAAAGGCTCATGTATGCGATGTACCTCAAGATTGCACTTGTCCCGAGATCGAGAGAGTTAAAACCACAAAATATCTAGGAGTTATTATAGATAGAAATTTAAACTGGTACCCTCAAATCGATGTAGTAGCTAAACGTGCTAGGAAGCTGATCTGGATTTTTAAACGCCTTCGTAACATTTGTGATTTACAGCTTATTATGTATATCTACAAAACCTTAGTACAGTCTGTTCTTCTATATTGCATAAGTATATGGGGCGGCACATTTAAATCAAAATTTGTGAGCATTGAACGTGCGCAGAGAAGTATCTTGAAAATAATGCTTTGCAAGAGTAAACTATATTCCACAGAAAAACTCTATAAAGATTCAGATCTCCTAACAGTTAGGCAACTATACATACTTCAATGCATACTTAAAGTCCACAAAAATACCCCGTTTGACATATCTATATTAAGCAAAAGAAATCGCTCATATATAATAAAACCTCAAACTGTGTGTACAACTTTTGCCTCGAAACAATTTGCGACCCAATCTACAAGAATGTACAACAAAATAAACAAAACCCTAAATATATACCCTATGACGTTTAAAGAGTGTAAAAAAACAGTAACTACGTGGCTAAAAACATTAAATTATCAACAAACTGAAGATCTATTTGTAGAAGTTGAATAAATAGATATATATCAAAAATCAATCCAAATTACAAGATGATTTAAAAAAAAAAAAAGCGTGTGCTAATTATTCGTTCTTACATATTATTGTGTATATTGTTCATACCTTATTTTATTAGGTATATTGTTCAATATTAATTCGGTCTTATGTAGTATTATAATATCGTAGCCATTCGATTCAGTTAGGTTACTTCCCGCATAAAAATATTATAATTATTTAAAGTATTCCATACTTTATGTGGTCGCATCATCCTGCTGATAAGAGACATGCTACGCTGTACTAACCTGCACTGGTCACGACATACGGACTACACTCGTCTGAGTTGCACTACAGTTACACTCATGTCTCACTCACACAATTAAAAGAAAGACGATGGTGTGATTGATTTCAATCTACCTCACTTGTTTAGTTATTACGATTTAATATCAACAATCGCCAGTAATTTGGTTTTTCAAGTATGTAATATAATTAATTAACCATTTAAGTACCTTTACTGTTTTGCTTTATTAAGTAGATTAAGTATTAACATATAGGAAAGAGCGTTCATCCCTAACACAGGTTCTTGAACTTAAAAGGGATGTACTAAAATATAGATTTAAGACTATTTACTTAATAAAGAAATTTTTGTTTTTTGTTTGTTTTATATGTTCCTTTTTACAGCTGCAAATAGAGCTGCAGACCCTCACAGGAGGCGGTTTAGAAGCAGCAGATGGGACTAATGCCAATGTCTCAGTGGCACCTGAGGACGAAATCGATGCAGCACTAAGCGAATTGCAGGTTCAGCTCGAAGGTGGACCACCAACCAGACCTGATATCACTCATGTGCCCGAGTTAGCCGGCTATTTGAAGTATAGAGGGTAAGTTATTACTTATTTGTATTAGTTGATAGCGGGATGTATACTTAAGATAGCATTCTTAATGGACCTTTTTACTAAAATAATTTTCCAATGCAAGGCAGTTTCTAATATCGACCACAAGGTAGCGTTCAACCTACCAACTAAGTTTAAGTTATTTTAATAATTTATACAAAATATTTACAATAATGTTTTTTGGTTTTATTTAATTTCACAACGGGACTGTCTAGTTATTAGATATAAACTTTATTGATGCTTTGTAAAGAACAAATTCAAACTTAATTAGTTATAATTTTTTATTGATTCTGAGGTCATGTGATCGGTTTACGGCTGGGCTCCAATGGATTTTTTTTTTAAAGAAACCATCGTGAGGAAACTGGCCTGCCTATTTAAAAATCTATGATCAGGAAATTGATACAGAAATCTGAGTCGCCACTTGTCTGTTAAGAAGTTTGGTTAAAGTAAAGTTTGTGACTTTGGTAGGCAAAAATTGCCTAGCCCCCGATATTTTCGTAAATTATATGTATTTATTTTATATATTTTTACATTGACCAATCGCGGCGTGCCACAGAAAGTTTCACAGCGAGTCTTGTGTGTAAGATTTATTTATTTTCCCATTTATGTATTTTCCTATACCCAATTTAACACTAAAATATTTTTATTTCACTTGACAAAATAAATAATTTAACATTTTTGAGTGATTTTTTTAATGTACCTAACCATTTTTGTATTGTTTGTTAATATGTAAATATTTTAAAGCTTATAGTACTATACTATCATATATATACAGCAGGCGGGTTTACATACGTTTATTTATTAACAAAATCCATTATTGAAAGGACACGCGAGATTTTTGTTTTACAAACTAATTGTTTTATGAAAAAGTGAACTTTTTTGTGTATTATAATAATTGTCATACCACTTTTCTTCGACTCCTAGTGTTGTATTTAACTCATTTTAATTTTATATTCTAGTCGTCAACGCTTCACGTTGCGCGCGTACAAGCGCGGTTGGGTGTCGTGTAGGGACGGCGAGTTGCGTATACACAGCTCACGTGACTCCGCCGCTAAGGGCGACGCGCCGTCATACAAGTTCGAGTTAAGGGGGGCTGAGGTTTGTATTTATTTATAGATATACAGTCGACTCTCGATAATTTGACACACATTAATTTGAATATCTCGATAATTTTAAATTTTGTTCCGTTCCCTTGAAAATAGTCGTTAAATTGAATTAAATCAATGTTAATTGGTCGCCTCGGTAACTTGAAGTTGAAGGTACAGTATCTTGCTCGCTCATGTGGGATAGTTTGAAGTCCGGGCTTCCTACTCTCTATAATTTGAAGTGTCATGTACATACCTGTAAATTGTTTTTTTTAAATTCTTTGGGCAATGAAAGTCTGAAGTCGCTCACACAAAAAAAGATACAGACAAAAATTTGTGATATTGTATTTAATTGTTAATACATAATAATAAACCACGAATATTGATCAAAATCTTATTTATTTGAACCCCTCGCGGATATTAAAACGCTTGTTATTTTGAACTCTTTGTAATTTGAAATTTATCTCCCATCCTTTGAGTCAAATTATCGAGATTCGATGGAAATGGAATGGAAAGAGTCTAGAAAAGAGAAACAACATTTCTAGATAATGTTTAAAGAACTTTATTTCTACAAAAAATAATGTATTTTTTTTTACATGAGAAACTTAATATGAATATACGAACGAGATACACGTCGCCATCAGCCGTCCCAATTTTAGTCTACTAGGTTCATTCGGATATGTATCTTTAATGCCCTTTTGAATTGCTTAAACGCGCTAATATTACGAATTTTAGACGGTAATTGATTAAATAATTGCACACCCTCATACTTAAATAGACTTCTTCAAGATAAGCAAACTTGTACTTTATCGTGTACTTTTAACGGTTGAAAGCTTATTTTTTACCCTGGATATTACATAAGATGTTTTTGAAATATTAATTGTAAGCAGATTTTGTTGAAACCAAGAAGAGAAGATATGATTTGTAAGCCTAACCATACTGTTTTATCACGTTTATTTATTTAACATAAATATTCACAGGTGACACCAGATGCACATCCCGCTTCAGGTCGATACGGAATCAAGTTGGAGGTACCTTCCGAAGACACCATGCAGGAAGTCTGGCTGAAATGTGAAAATGTTAGTACTATACATAAATTTAATATTGCAAATAATAAGGAACTTGCTGAACGTGTAGGGTAAAAATACTAGTATATCAATTAAATTCATTTGTTCACTATATGATAGTTGAATAATATAATGTTATGCGCGACAAAAAAAATTTGTTATCAATATCTGTACAGCCCCTTATCACAATCTATCTCGTGCTTTTTGCATCTAATTTCAGTTTGATATTGTTTTGAAGTCCGTGACAACTCTATCCCACTAACGCAGTATCGGTAGAGGAAAAAATTTTAGCAAAAAAAAAAACAAAATAACATGATTTTTGCATATGCATGCAAGTATATATATATGTATGTAATTGTATAGCCAAGCAATTTTTAAGCTAATTAAAAAAAAATGTTATTTCGACGTTTCTACGACGATAGTATTTTTGACTGGAACATATCTATTAACAGGAAGACCAATACGCTGAGTGGGTGGCAGCCTGCCGTTTGGGCTCCCGTGGTCGGTCTTTAGCAGATGCGTCTTTCTCGAGCGAAGTGGCGACAGTGAAGTCGTTACTCGCCCTCCAAAGGCCGCAACCAGGCGCTGCCTTAAACCAACACAGCCTCCCACATCTGGACCATTTGCAGCCGGAAAATTATTTGGCGCCGAGATTTCTTAAGAAACTCAAGAGCAAGGTTGGTTTTAATATATTATATTTAAAATTAATCTTTATAATTGTTTATTTTCGAGTAATGGCACACTCGTTCATATTTATTTATTTAGGTTAGTTTAAACTACATTAATATCTCAAAAAAAATCTTCACATAATTTTTTAGCAAGAAATTTAGCATTTTTCAATGCCTTTAAAAGTATCATTTGTATATATGATTAGAACGTGTAACGCGCCGTAACGTTTTTCTGTACCCAAGTACAGTACCGTAACCGAGTAAAGTAAATAAAACGTTTCGTGACTATACCTAAAAGTTACCATTATGTGGTGTAAATGGAAAGTCGAAAATAATATTAACAATCACGCATAATTCAATCCCCGCCCCGCATCGTAATACTTGAACGCTCCCTAATCTATATGATATAAAACATATTATATAGATTCTCAATTTTGCATATAAAGTAAAAACTACGACCGCAATAGATTGACTGGTCGTAAATGCAAATTCATTACCAATTTAATGTTTTTGTGACAATATGGCAATAAGAACTAAAATAATTAACCTTAATGAATCAATTCAGACAAGGTAATTTATTTATTATTATATTTAGTAAGAGACTTTATTCTTTATTAATATTTATTTAATTTTATATATGTTTCAAAAAATTTCACAGTGGTGTGGTAAAAACATAGACATAACTATTAAATAATATAATATAGATATTTCTAATATAAAATATTTTCTCAATAGTTCACTCAACGCGTGCTGGAAAGCCATGCGAACGTCAAAGACTTGCCATTGCTGGAGGCCAAGCTCCAGTACATCAAGACCTGGCAAAATCTACCAGACTATGGACAAACTTTATTTATTGTCCGTTTTATGGGACACCGGAAAGATGAAATCATCAGCATCGCCAATAATCGTATTATGAGACTTGATCCCAGTACCGGAGACCATATTAAGACTTGGCGATTCAGTACTATGAAGGTAATATTTAATATTGATAAATATGTTTGAACAATTTGTAATCTTGTGTTAAAAAAGTCTGTGTAGTAGTTTAGATGGATTATAACATACAATAATAATATCAATATATCTGTATTATCTATGATGGTTTTTTATTATATTTGAATATGTAAATTAATATTTCTATTATTCTTCAGGCTTGGAATGTCAACTGGGAGATCAAACACATGATGGTACAATTTGAAGAAGGAAGTATCATCTTCTCCGTTCAATCTGCTGACTGCAAGGTTGTCCACGAGTTTATTGGAGGATACATATTCCTCTCCATGCGTTCTAAAGACGCCAACCAGAATTTAGATGAAGAATTATTCCATAAATTGACCGGTGGATGGACATAAACCATTGATTTATACAGATTTATATGAATGTGCCTTGAATTTTACCAATGTCTTAGCAATTTTAATTTATGACTACACTTTTTTTTATGTGGATATATTTTTGTACACTGACATTTGAATTAAGTTTTATTTTGTGTTACAAAAGCACAATAACGATGAATTACGATAATATATTCTACTAGATATACTTACTATATGTATAGTGCTTCCAATAATTGTCTTAAGCGTCTAATACCAAATAGAATTCCACTTACACATCACGGCTAGCAGTTTTTAAGGAAATAGTCCAGTATTGAATCTCAAAACTATCTTCAAACATTCACAGAGTTTACCAAACCAATGTTTCTATACTTTACATTTATTGAACACACTTCTCTAGAAATAAGCTCTTAACAAACTGACCGATGTTAATGCCTTTTAGGACAAGACAAATGGTGCTTCAAAATTATTTATAATGTGTGGCCTTAATAAGTTTGCCATCTTAAGTTGAATCTAACACTAAGGTTAACGGCTTTTCAGAGATTGTATACTGTAGAATAAGGTTTGAGATATTGTCTTCATCGCATAAAATGCTATAATGAATTGCATAGTTAAGAATTAACAATATTTCGCCTATTTTTAATATAGAACTATTGTACAAAATATATGTACACTATACAAATTATAAATACATTATGTTTGTAAATGAATGTTAAAATAAATGTAAATTAATATCAAATTTAGTTTTATTTTTAACTGCCAACAATTGTCAATGTTTTATAATAAAGATTTACTTAATGTTAAAAAAGCATTGCTACTATGTAAAACCAATACTGCTTTCAATAATAGTAATTAATTGGCTGTCATTGGCACTCACTCCCTAAGGGCTCATGCCCACGAGACGGTTTCAACACGGCCCGGTTTTTGGCCGGCGCCGGGTAGAAACCGTCCGAGCTCGCACACAAGACGGTTTGTACACGACCCGGTTTCATGGAGGTGCCGCCTTCATACGCTCTTTTCATTCAATGAATTGTGGACGTATAAAATGTTGAGTGTTAAAAAGAAGAAATGTATTATTGCGTGGTACATGTATAAAAGACGAGAAAAAATACATAGACGACATTGGGTACCTCCCATGTTAACAGAAAGAGAAGATCATGGTGCATTTCATACGCTCATTCAGAAGCAACTATGACGAGAAATTTGAGAAGTACTTTCGAATGAAAAAAGAAACATTATAAAAATGTTACATAGTTTGGAACCCAAACTTAAACATGAAGATACAAATATGCGCAGTAGTATATATCTCCAATTAATAATTCCTGGTCGACTTCAATAATTATATAATATAATATTGCGTTGTGCGTACTGCGTAGGTAGGCGGCACGCGCCGGGCGTAGGCCCGGTCTCGTGTACATGCGCTCATACACTGCCATACTCCACTGCGCACCGGGCGTAGACGCGGCGAGCACCGTGCCCGGTTGCGCGGAAAGCCGGCGCTAGCGCCGGCGTCGTGTGCATGGCGTCATAGTGTCCCATACTAGACTGTCGACCGGCATGAGCCGTAATAGTAGAATATGTCATAAAACTAAAAAAAATACATTTGATGTAGTTCTTTCAATACTTTTTAATAGGTTTAAAAATCTATATTACAACATGACCTATGAGTTTGAATTTAAATATAAAAGTATTTATGTGTACTCAGCACACAGAACATTCAAATATCCTCAGTAGACAATATGTATTGCTTAAAAAGTTTTTTAGAGGGGTTAGTGAATTCACTCTTTACAGTATTAGTCAAGTTATTAATCATAAAGAATATAAGAACTGACATTGCAAACTTATATGATATGAAATCTCATTTAGATCACTCTTGGAGCATATTATGTGATTATACAAAGTTCCAAATTATTAGGAGAGGACAGTTTACTTGGTGGTCCCCTGTATACTATAAGAGAATATTGAAGTTGTTAAGTATTGGCACCTCAAAGTAATAGGGACCAGGTGGTGGACTGCATCATGGATGAAAATGATGGATGATTTGGATTTTTCTAGGATCATATTTTATGGTTTTGGGCAGAATTTGACTTTCTTTATTTCAAGCTTATAATAATATCACATGTTATGAATGAAGTAGTTTAAAAACTCTTCTTTTAACTTGGTTTATGCTCTTGTAGTTCACTTATTCCAAATAACATTAACTTAATGTGTGCCTTGGTTTCTGCAGCTTTTTTCAATAATTCTTGTGAGCTTTGTTCGAAAACTTTTATTCTTGCGTCAAGATACTTATTTGCTTCTAATAGACTGAATTCTAAGAATGTATTCAATCCTATATTAATTAGTAGTTGGGACGTATCAGCAACAGAAGCTTCCATGAAAAAATTACAGCCTAAGTTGATCTGTGTTTTAAATCCGTTGGGGTGCATGTTTTTGTCAGTCATAACCCTTAATGCATGTTTCTGCTGAATCAAATCTGATACTTCGGCATTAACTTTTTCTAATTTGAGGTGTATAATACGTAAATCTTCCTTTAAAACATCGTTAATAAAATTTTCATATTTTGTAATTGTATTTTCTATGTTACTTGTCATGTTTATCACACTGTAGGTATTAACTTATATATTAATTACTAAGAAATAATCTTTTATTATTTTTAATAATTAGTAATATAATACAATAAATATTGCAACAGTAAATAACAATAACAAGAAAACAAAACTTAACCTAAACTAACTAGTAACGCACTAGCCACTAAGCACTCTGACGTTTGATTCGTTTGTAAGATTAAAGATATGACTCTCGACTTCAGTACTTGACAGATCCAAAGTTTATGAAGTTGTCAGCGTCAAACTATTAACCGTCAGTTAATACAGCACTCAGATTTTTTTTGGTTTTTTACACGCGGATCATGGTAAAAATAATATAACTATATGTATGTGTAGCTGAAACTTCGTTTTTGTGAACCCACTACTTACAAATAAGATACTATGCACATTTAATTGTCCTCTCTTTCAAATGTTGCTGTCGAACGTTCATGCTCAGGAATGCTCATACAATATAGTACGTTGTAACTAGTAAAACTACTAATGGTGTTTATTTTATCTGTACGCAGATATCAATATACATATTTATGTAATACTTTACATTACAGCATATGCTTAAAATATGACTAAATGATAAGTTACGCAGTTATGTATTTATTGAGTGAAAATGTTTTTGTTGCTAACTAATAAATTTATACTTACCTTAGAACTGCTTATTATTTTGGAACTAACTACGGGATGAAAATTTTAAATGATATTTAGATCTAATAAATAGGTAATTCATTGCCTTCTTATTAATCAGTAACAGCTGTTGCCGGTGACTTCGTCTGCAAGGATAAGCTTAGCTGACAAATGGCAGTCGCATAGCCTTTTGAGGGTTCTGTTAGTTTGAAGCTCAATCTAACGTTTCTACTTCCTAAAAATATTACGGGCATCACAAAAAACTAACCCCTTAATGGAAATTGGAAGTTAATATTTCATTATAAACAGGGTAACAAAACTGCGTCCCGTAACAAGAATTGATTAAAAAGGATGGCGTAGAGGGAGTGAAGTGTTTGTGCATCGCGGGACACAAACGTCAACTGATTTACCAATCACGCGATCGACAAGTCACTTTCCCGCCGCCCCCCCTCCCAGTGATACCTAAAAATCGCTTCTGCGCAGGCAAGGACATTTGTTCAAGATGTTTGCCGGTATCTATACTAGTTCTATGCGCCTGCTCTACGCCCTTAATTTATAAATTGGTAGTTAATGTAAGTTTACTAATAATTCAAAGATTTCAAACCTTACCATAACCATATCCTTACAATTTGAAATATATATAACTCTGTATTGATTTGATTTGGATTTTATTTGGCCACCCAAGCCAAGACTTGTTATCTATATACGACTATACGTGTATATTATATTTTAATGTCTAAGCCAGGAATTGGCCCGTTTATTCCTATATTTTCGTATATCGGTATAAAAAGTAGGAAAGGGTTTCATACCAGCCTTGCGATTCTGTAACTCACTTTTCGAAATCACACAGTGGTTTTCACAGCGGCGGTCGCGCTCAAATTAGTCGTAAAGCAATCATTTTACGATTTGGCATTCTGATAAACAATAAACTACAAGCTCCCTCCGTATTGAGTGTGTGAGTTCGAAAAGTGAGTTACAGAATCGCAAGGCAGATCCGATTATTATGATAATCTCACAGACATAAACACATGAAGGTACAGATATAATTTTTTTGCGAAATTAAAAGACTGGAAACGATCACCAAATTATTTATTTCAGAATTATTACTATAAAAACATTGCTTAAGAAATTCAAAACCTAACGAAAACGCTCATTTACAATATAGTTATTTAAATCCGTTACTGTTCACAAGGTTTGCAAAAAGGGTTATCTTAATCTATTCCAAGAGAATACATAGGAAAATACATAATTAATATCATATTTATAGGTACCTGTAAAATATACCTAATACTTAATAATAATTTTAAGAATAGTAATTGGTATTTACAGAATAAGCTTACATATCACTCTAACAATGTAACATAGATAATAACAAGTGTCATTTTAAACCTTTACGTTATGAAATTTTAAAAATATCCGAAATTAGATTTTTCTGATATGGCAATTTTAAATAAATTAACGTTATGGCTTCGCCGATGGCAGAAATATTTTGGATGAATTTGTTTTCTATGACATTATCTGTTGTCAAAATACGAACCTGTGGTTATTATCTGCTTTAATTTGTAATATGGCATACTTATTCTATATTTACTCTACAGTCTACATACATTGTAAATAGCTTTTTAAAACTAAATCAATCCCTTTAAATAGTCACTTCCAATAGTCTTTGAAAGGAGACGGATTTTAAAATAGTGTATTGAACCGATTTAGTTTACAAAAGAGGATTAGGACAGAATAATATATTTACATAGATTTTGGACTTGGAAGTTTCAAGCAACTAAAAACTTTGGCTTTAACAGCTACAATCTATACTAATCAACTAATTATGCGTACATAGCACAATAAAGAAATAATGAATATCACAAAATATATGCGTTGACATTTATGGACGAAAGAATTGTATACAACTGTGAATGTGAATAAAACCATACACAATTATATTTAAAACCACCCTTCATCATAAACACACCTTTACTTAAGTACTCATTCTCTGTGTAATTGTGTTTATATGAAAAGAGCCCGTAAGTTGAAATAATGTGATAAAACTCATTAGTTTTTATGATTAAGGGGGTATATTCGTATGTCTAGTCGATGGACACGTTAGGACAGTGTTTTCCAACGTGGGGCCCACGCCCTACAGGGGGCAATTTGATTGTTAGGGGGCTATTATATTTATGTGTAGAATATTATATAAACTATTTGGAATCGGAATTTCAGTTTTTCATCATATGATTCGAAAATTTTCTTGCTGTGTTTCGTTAACAATCTCCTAGTAATTTCTTCAACAATTCAATTTAATATTAAAAATTATGTATGTTCCATATAAGAACTTTAGAAAGGCTAAAGTAAAGGTGGGGCATGGCCCAAATAAGGTTGGGAAACACTGCGTTAGGACAATTTAAATTTATACCGAATACCTAAATTTTGTAAATAATATCTAGATTAAATTTTCATATGAACTGTGTTTGAATGCAAAAAACTTGCAGTTTCACAATTAAAGTGATGATATACAAAACTCTTACAAATATTAGGATTCCCACTTAACAATTAGACTATCAGTTCGTTGAAGGACGTCTAATACCCAAGTTCTTTATTATTACTACTCGTAATCAGTACGAATCGTGTGAATATATCTACAGCGTTTTTTTCTACAGAAACATCTACGACTCGTACCTCTACGACTAGTTTAGATATAGAAACCTGGGTTAGGCTGAAGTAGGTACGAATGTAATGATTTATAATCAAATTGTTATGCTTATTCTGATGTATACGAAAGTGCTGTCATATATTAATAATTTGAGAGTGGTGAACATAATATTAAAACTGATTGTTTCATTATAATATATCTGGTATCGTCGAGAACAATTCAGGAATCTTTATTCTTAGTATTCCTTAAATTTAGTAGTAAAAGATTTTACTACGATTATTGCCAAGTTTATTTTGGAACCTTAACGAGAACACTGATAATAAACTATTTGTTACTACTTGTCAAAGCAATATCAAATTTGTGTATGTACCTTTAATCTATTAAAATGATTTACGATAGTAAAGCGATCTTGCTATTAAGTGTTTTTTCTATAGGCCTTTAGCCTATGATTATATGATTAGGGAACTTAGGCGTAATAACCATTTAGAGACACATATTTTTGGTCGTAAATTACGACGTAAGCGTCACGTCTTGATTGAGGTCCCTCGAACGCTTATAGAGGGAGAACAAATTGTAATTTTAATTTATGATTAGACCGGGATTCGAACCCAATATCCTAGGCGCCATGGTGATGACAAAACTGCTTACCCCTTTTTAACAAAACCACATCAAAGTTGTCAAATGACATTGTCAATTGTCAATGTTTGGTGTTTTAGAAAACGTCGTTCAATATTCAGTTGGAAAAACACCGTTTTATATACCAATCCACATAAAATCAATCAATCAACCAGTTTCAAAACAAAATAATATTATTTTCAAGCTACGCAAAAATTTATGAAAACTGGCAATATTGCCCAGTAATTTGACAGCTTGTAGTAAGTCATAATACATCAGAATTAGCACGATCTTAATATCTAAGAAACAGGATTCATTTGATGAAAAACATTGGAAGAATATGATAAATATGTACAATCGTATGAAACAGTGATTCGTAATGAAATTATTGAATTTCCAACGATAAATTAATTTTAGTGCTCGTTAGTTTTGATTAGGTACACATTTATAAAATAATTTCAATCTTATAATTAAAACACAACCTAAAAATAAATTTACGATAACAAATTTTGAGATTCATGACACCTTATAGTATGACGACTGTATATGTGTAAATATTTTGGAAAAATATAGCCTGTTAGGAATTATGTATACGTGTTTTGTAATCGGTCCTGAAAACTAAAACGAACTAATTTGCACTGTTTTAAGTCTATCACATCATCACAGCGTAACCAATTTGACAGGAAATGAAAAAGTACTTTAGTCAAAGTAGTGTAATTGGACTTTATTTCTTTATGAATAAGACGGTTTAAATATAGATGCCACCTTTTAATTACTCGTAATAAAAATATAGTCTTATTACACTTTTTTAACGAATGCATACAGCTGTCAAAATTACGAAGACAGCCGTTATTATGTAAAACCAATACCAAAATCTTTGACATTCCCTAACAAAAAAAAACAAATCTTCGGTCGAATCAGTATACTTATAATATACGAGTATGTAACGCTGATGCAAATTTGATGATGACTTGGTACGAAGTACTGTGAACATAGTTTTTATAAGGGGTTTTAAAAGAAGATTCAAGTTAAAGTATACATTTTTGATTGTATTGCTGTACATTTTGTAACAACTTTAAAAGACACTAAAAGTTCTTTATATAAA